TCTTTTTCAAGCAATTTACACAAGGGGTTAGCAATTTTAAAAAAATCTTTTATAAATCTTCTATAGAAGCCGGCGTGGCCCAGGAAACTTCTTATTGCTTTGACGGACGTGGGTGGTGGAAGCTTTTCGATCACATCAACCTTAGCACGATCTACCTCAATGTCCCTACTCGACACTAGGTGCCCCAAGACTATACTTTCTTGTTCCATGAAATAACACTTTTTCCAGTTGAGTACTAGATTCGTCTCGACATATCTTTTCAACACTCTTTTCAAATTCCTTAGGCAATAATCGAATGAGTATCCCACCACCGAGAAATTATCCATAAAGACCTCCATGATATCCTCAACCATATAAGTGAAGATGGCCATCATGCACCTTTGAAATGTGGCGGGTGTATTGCATAGACCAAACGACATTCTCCGAAAGGCATAGATGCCATATGGACAAGTGAATGATGTTTTCTCTCTATATTCCAGGGCAATAGAGATTTGATTATACCCCGAGTATCCATCTAGAAAGCAAAAGTGGGACTTCCCTGCTAATCTATCTAGCATTTGATCAATGAACAACAAGGGAAAATGGTCTTTTCGGGTGGCTTTGTTCAATATTCTGTAGTCCATACAAATTCGCCATCCCGTGACTGTTCTTGTTGAGATAAACTCATTGTTCTCGTTTTGCACTATAGTCATCCCACCTTTCTTAGGCACACATTGGACTGGGCTGATCCAGTTGCTGTCGGAGATGGGGAAGATGATTCCCACATCTAACCACTTTATCACCTCCTTTTTCACAACTTCCTTCATGTTAGGGTTCAACCTTCTTTGATGTTCTCTGGAAGGTTTGTGTCCATCTTCCAGTAGAGTCTTATGCATACAGAAGGCCAGGCTGATACCCGTAATGTCTGCGATGGTCTAACCAATTGCAGTTTTGCACTCACTCAATACCTGCAAAAGCTATTTTTTCTGCACATCTAACAAACCAGATGAGATAATAACAGGTAAAGTTGAACTAGGTCCCAAGAAAGCATACCTGAGGTGAGGTGGTAGCGGCTTTAGCTCCAACTTTTGGTGGCTCTTCTATCGATGGCTTAGCTGGAGGAATTTTTCTTTCTTCTAAGTGCAAAGGCTCAAATTCGAGCTCTCTTTTCCAAAACCCTTGGACTTCAAGAGCCAGTACCCATTCCACCAAATCCTCTCCATTTACTTCATCTAAGTTCATGAGACAAGCTGCTAGAGGGTCTTTAGCATTCAAGGTTTCATCTTCCTCCTCTAAAATTACATCCACGACTTCTATTAGAGAGCAGTTAGCAATTTCACTTGGTCGCCGCATAGATTTCTGCATGTTGAATGTTATTTCTTCATCATTTAGTCTCATTTTGAGCTCTCCAGTCTCACAGTCGATTAAAGCTCTCCTAGTGGCCAAGAATGGTCTTCCCAAAATTATGGGAATCTTCTCGTCAACCCGGTAGTCTAGAATGACAAAATCTGCTGGGAACACAAACTTCCCAACCTTTACTAATACATCATCAAGGATACCAGAGGGCCTCTTCACTGTCCTATCGGCCAACTTTAGTAACATGGACGTGGGTCTAGCTCTTCCAATGCCTAACCTTTTACAGATAGCCAAAGGCATCAAGTTTATGCTTGCCCCCAAATCACAAAGTGCCTTAGCAAATGCATAGTTGCCAATTGTGCATGGGATTGTGAAACTCCCTGGATCAGATAACTTCTCAGTTATGGGTCTCGTCACAACAACACTACATGTCTGAGTCAATGTAACTGTGGCCAAGTCTTGAAAGTCGAACTTACGAGACATCAAGTCCTTCATCATTTTTGCATAACCAAGCATTTCCTTTAAGGCGTGAATCAATGGAATGTTAACCTGAATTTGTTTCAACATCTCCAAGAATTTCTTATACTGCTCATCTTTTTGATATTTGGCCAATCTCTGGGGGAAAGGTGCTGGAGGCCGCTTCTTTCCTGTGATTTAATTTTGAACCTGCTCAGGCACTGCTTCTACTGATGTTTCTTGTGCTACCTCAGTCTCCTTCGCAACCTCTTTTTCTTTGCTTGTGCTCTCTTGTGCATGTTATACCGTCACCTCTGTCAACCCTGTTGAATCGTCTATCTCAATGGGTACTGGCATAAGTGTTTCAGTAAGTCGGCTTTCACGAGCCATATCTTGCTCCAAATGTAGGTCTCTACCATTTCGTAGACTCACTGCCATAGGCTGTTTCAGGCCCTGTTCTTTTGGATTGACTTGTGTGTCTGCAGGTAACGTCCCTTGGGGACGATTATTTAGAGCCATAGAAATCTGTCCTAATTAAATCTCAATGCCCTTTATCGCTGATTCATGTGAGTCTACTCTCTATTGCATTTTTCCCGTGGACCCAATCACTTGTTGCAGCATTCCCTTAAGTTCAGTGAAACCATCATCTTGTCTCATAATCTGTTATTGTTGAGGTTGTTGATAAGTCAGCTGCTGGTTTTGCTGGTTGTAACCCTGTTGCCTTTGGTAAGGCACAACTTGACCCAGTGGTCGCGTAGCTCCGGGATTGTTATTGTTATTGTACTTCTGCTGCGCTGGTCTATATTGTTGATTCTGTTGACCCCAATTCTGACCAACTTGCCTCTGTCCCCCCATAGTTGGCTACATAATTCATATCTTCTTGATAGTGCTGGTTGTCACCTTCCGCACTCTACGAGAAAACATATGGTTGATTAATGCATGGTGTACATAAACCCCCATTAGTTGCGTCAACTATGTGAACCTGTTGCTTCTTGCCTGATTCATCAATCTTCTTGGTGAGGATACTCATTTGTGTCATTAGAGTGGCCATATTCCCAGCTATGGAGTTGTTTGGGTCCAAAGCCACTGAGTGAACAACCGGAGTGATCGTAAAGGCTCTTGTCATCCATCCTGAGTTTTGGGCCATTTTATCAAGTAGGATATTGTATTCTTCAAATGTTTTACTCAAAAATGCTCCACCTGCTGAAGCATCAACATTGGCCTTTAAGCCATCAGCCAGTCCCACGTAGAATCTCTGCCCCAACATGTGATCTGGAATGCCATGATGTGGACACTTAACCAGCATACCCTTGAACCTATCCCATGTTTCTTGTAGTGATTCTGTTGGTCTCTGCCTATAGCTCAATATATCATCAATCTGTTGGGCAGTTTTATTAGGTGGGTAAAATTTGTTCATAAATTGCTTGACTAATTCCTTCCAGGTAGTGATGGAGTTTATGGAGAGTGAATTAAGCCAAGTCTGAGCATCTCGTGTCAACGAGAATGGGAACAATAACAACTTTATTGCATCCGGTTTCACGTTAGGTTGCCTTTGCGTGATACATATCGATAGGAAATTCTTCAGATACTGCTGAGGATCTTCAATGTGTGACCCTGAGAACAGTCCCTTGTTCTGCAATAAATGTAGCATGTTGTTTGTGATTTGAAATGATTCCGCTTGTATTTAAGGGACTGCAATTGTGGTTACCAGATTGTCGGCAGTGGTTTGTGCCCAATCATATAATACTGCTTCTGGTACAAGAGGCACCACACCCTGATTGTTTGGTTCATCCGCATTGTTTCTGTTGTTGATTGGATTTTCTATTCCGTCATCCATGTCTGGCTCGATTTGTTCTGTCAAGTTTTGTTGTTGTTTGCTTTTCTTATTTGCACGATTTAGTGCCTTGAAAACTTTCTCAGGATCTGATAATGCTTCGAGCAGCTCACCAGTTCTTGAGGAGTTCCTAGGCATGCACCTGTAACACCCAAGACTACAAACGTTAGAATTTCAATGTATTTGATTTAGAATGAAGAAAATTGACTACAATAAGAATTATAGCACTTCTTTTAGATGCAATTAATAACACCGTTAATTCTCCGGAAATAGCGCCAAATTTTGATCGCGTCCAACTATACCTTATAAAAAGGACAATCGGTCGTCGCAAATATATTCCGGCTAATAAGTCCGGAGTCAAATCCCATAGGGAATTAACCTATCAACCACAACTGCTAGACCCTCACAAATTCACGCAATCAATCTTCAGAAATATTTGAATAATAATTTGGATGTTCATTAACTAAATATTACGTAATGAAAATGCACTAACAAATGAATAACTACGAATGGTTTGTAAACAAGAATTGGAAAGATCTAAGGTTGTGATTCCCTCTATTGTTGGAATCTTTTCCGCTATATTTTCTGTAAATTTGCCTAAGTTTTCTCTATCGATCATGAGCACTATGACTGTCGTAACTCTCTCCCGAGTAATTACCATAAGTTACTAGACATATTCTCCCGAATTACGCTAGCTGGCATTAAGTATGGCTCACTCTGATCGCACCAAGGTTTCATTATCCCTAATCGCACCTTTAATCCCTTCGTATTGATCCCTCATATACGTTAGGAGTGATGTTGTTCAACAAATACCTAAATATGCACTTTCTCCCGAGTAATACATACTAAATAGGCATATCTAATTGAGGGCCCTTCAATCAACCACATGAATAATATAGTTGAACAAATAGAGAAAATACTACGGTAAATTTATATTAACGTAACAAGAAAATCATCCTTCAATAGGTTCCATCAAAACCTTAGATTAGGAATTTATGTATTCATACTCATAGCAATAATATCCCAAATATTTTGCATAATTAAAGTACAGAGTAAAGATAAAAGGATGTAGAAATCAATGATTCTAACTCTCAACGGGTGATTCCACAAGCTATTCTTGCCTCCGATTTCAAAAATCTTCCAAAGTGGCATTTTTAGGTCTATTTATATATGTACGAAAAGACTTAAACGTATAGGCAAAGTCCTAGTCAAACTCGGAGACGAAATAAGTCTTCAAAACTCGGACTGTGCATGCCCAGACCTGGCCTCGCGAGGCTTAACACCTGGTAGACCTCGCCCCAGGCCTGGCGTCGCCAGGTATAAAGCCTGGTCAATCTCGCTTCTACCTCGCCTCGCCAGGTCTATCGCCTACTACATGCCTGGCGTCGCCAGGTATAAGGCCTGCTCTAGGCCTGGCTTCGCCAGGTATAACGCCTGGTGTAGGCCTGGCTTCGCCAGCTTCTCTTTTTCAACTGACCCCGAGCACGCTTTCGACTTTTATTTATCCCTTTTTCTCTACTTTCATCTCCAATTCACCTACACTTAAAATATCCTTCATTACGAGCAAATAAAGTATAATTTATCATTAAAGCGTATAAAATATAAGGCGAATAGTATGCTAAACCATGAATTATAGCCACACATCACTACTCTTAGGAACAATAATGCTATTAGTTTGTCAAATTCATTTAGTAATGAATGTGTCTCTTGTCGTCTAGGAAAGTCTCATCGTTTATCATTCAAACTAGTGGAACATTGTAGTTCTTTTCCTTTGGATATTATTCACTCAGATGTTTGGCAATCTCGATTTACATGGCTCTATACAATGAAAAATAAATAAGAAGTTTTTACTCATTTTTGTGCTTTTCAAAAGCTGGTGGAAAATTTGCTTAACACTACAATAAAAAAAATTCAAAGTGATGGAGGAGGCGAGTTTGACAACAAGGCCATGCTTTCACATTTTACTAATTCTGGCATTTCTTTTCGTAAGTTGTATCCGGACACTACACAACAAAATAGGGTTGCTGAACGGAAACATCGACACATTATTGAAATGGTACACACAATTATAACAGATGCTACTCTCCCATTTCAATTTTGGGTTGATGCAGCCTTTAATGTTGTTTTTACCATTAACAGGTTACCTACGCCTATTTTACATGGCCTTTCTCCCTTTGAGAAATTTTTTTATAGACTTCCAGATTACAACTTTCTCCGAGTTTTTGGCTGTGAATGCTTTCCCAATTTGTCTGCTCGAGTTTTTCATAAGCTTACACCTCGTTCAGTTAGATGTGTCTTCCTTGACTATGCATCTGATTATAAGGGATACCATTGTTTAGATCCGAAATCTGGTCATGTATATGTTAGTCGACATGTAATATTTCATGAACTAGTTTTTTCATATTTTGAGTTGTCTATTTCTCCTACTGTTGTCTCCCCTTCATCCTCTAATTCTAATCATCTTGTTGTCATGTCGGCTCTAAATCGTAGGAGTCCACCGCCACAGCTTCAATCTTCTGTGTCTACCATTGTTCTATTCTTTACATGATACTTCTCATGTGTCTCAACCTTTATCCTCTAGAACTATAGATTCCACAAGTTATCAGATCTCTGTTGTAAAGACTTTTTCACTCGTACCTAGCCTTAGTGAGTTATTACCTATAGATTCTTCACCATCTTTGTCTACCTCATTACCTATTACTAATTCCTCAACTTCGTCATCTACCCCTTCCCAACATCCAATGCAAACTCGATCTAAGTCTAGTATTTCTAAGCCAAAGAAATAATTTTCTTTGAGTGCTAATGTCCATGAACATGAGCTTTCTTGCTTTTCTCAAACTGTAAAAAATTTAAAGTGGCAACAAGCAATGGCAGATGAATTTAATGCCCTTTTGGAGAATATTACTTGGATCCTTGTTCCTTTTACCCCTAACATGAACTTAGTCGGTTGCAAATGGGTATATCACATAAAATATAATTTAGATGGGTCTATTGAGCAATACAAGGCTCGCCTTGTAGCATAAGGTTTTCATCAAAAGCCTGGCATAGATTATCATGAGAAATTTAGCCCTGTTGTTCGTGCGACAACTGTGAGAATTGTTCTTTCCCTTGCTGTCTCTTTTTTTTTGGCAAATTTATCAGCTAGATGTTAAAAATACATTTTTGCATGGGGTTCTTACTGAGGAGGTCTACATGAAGCAGCCTACAGGTTTTATTCATCCCCACTATCCTAATCATGTTTGCAAGCTAACCAAAGACATCTATGGCTTGAAACAAGCTCCCAGGGCATGGTTTCATCGCTTCAGTGCATTTCTTATTTCTCATGGTTTTGCTTGCAGCAAATCTGATAGTTTAATATTTATTTATTGCTCTTCTTCTCATTTCCTTATTCTATTACTCTACATCGATGATATCATTCTCACGGATAATCATAGTGGTCTTCTTGATCAATTCATTTCTCGTCTATCTCATCAGTTTGCTATGAAGGACTTAGGCAATCTCCATTGTTTTCTTAGTATTCAAGCAGTTCCTACATCTCACGGTCTTCACCTGTCTCAGCAAAAGCACATTGTTGATTTATTACTTAAATTTCATATGCACACATGCAAACCATTGCGTACTCCCCTTGCTTCTCGTACTTCTATTTCTCTGATGGACGGTGAGTTACTTTCAGATCCTAGTGAACATAGGAGCATGGCTGGTGCTCTTCAATATTTGACAATGACTCGTCTAGATATTGCCTATGCGGTAAATGTTGTCTCTCAATTTATGCATGCTCCCTGTACCACTTACATGCATTGTGTCAAGCGTATTTTCAGGTACTTGCAGGGTACTCTGACTTATGGACTGACTTTGCGTGCGCTATCTATGACTTCCATGGTTATTGCCTACTCGGATGTTGATTGGGCTGGTTGTCCTGATAGTCACCGTTCTACTACAAGTTTTGCTGTGTTCCTAGGAACTAATTTTATCTCTTGGCGTGCAAAGAAGCAACCAGCAGTTTCAAAATTGTCTAAAGAAGCTGAGTACCGGGCTATTGCATACACTGTTGCTGAGACTTGTTAGATTCATCACGATCTTTGTGAGCTTGGTATCTTTCTTCATGAACCAATTCGTGTATTGTGCGACCACATCAGTTCAACTTACATGACCCGTAATATAATTTTTCATGATCGCTCGAAACACATTGCTGTTGATTTTCATTTTGTGTATGATAAGATTGCACAAGGAGATCTTATAGTTCAATATGTTCTGACACATTTCCAGTTAGCAGATATCTTTACAAAGGGCCTGCCTTTATCTCGCTTTTGTTTTCTTCGGGACAATCTGTCCGTTATCCGTCCGTCCAGTTTGAGGGGGTGTATTAGTGCATATAGAATAGGTAGAATTCCTTTAATCTTACACTTTGTATTCTAAAGAGTCCTTGTTTATATAACCTTGTACTCTAGGTAGAGTCTTTGTTGACTTGATACATTGTACTTTGTATAACATTATATATAATAGACAAAGCTCTAAGGTTGAGAGCATCTTGGGCAGAATACTATTCTTCACATTCACATAGTCCTTTAAGATCACCAACATTAAAATTAAAATAATGTTTATCGAAATTTATTTAGTGTAAAATCAAATATATGTTTTAGATTATACCAAGTATAATATTCATTCTTAAAATAATGAACGAAATAGCTACCGAAAATATATTCACTAAATAATGAAGTTAATATATTAATTCTTATATTATAATCGTCACACTATAATTTTAAATATAACTTGATTATGACCTAGAAAAAGAATGAGGGTGTAACTAGATGATAAGGACATGGAATAGTAGGAAGATAAAGCAAGAAGGAAGAGAAGGGAAAGGAAAAAAGATTTGCCATGGAAAGAATGGTGGAGAAGAGTGAGAGGAAGGGAAGTGAAGAGGAGAATTATTAATTTTTGGCAGAATGTGAAAAAAGAAGGACGATGAAATTGACTGCATATTGACTTGGAACAAGACTACCACTGTACCCCTTGACAAGTATCAGATTGTTCATTGGTTGGGTTTCTTTTTCTTGAAATTCTTAGGCTATGATTGGCTCAAAAAGATTTTAAGGGGTTGTTTGGTACTATAAGATAATAAATTTGGGATAAAAGGTAAAATTATTTTATTTCGAGTTTGGTTAAAAACAATTATTTTTGATATAAATAATCTCGGAATTATTTACCCTATAATTTTTAGGATTTTTAATTTTCATTTGATATTACATGTGAAATAACAATTTCAGAATTATCTAATCCTAGAATAAAACAAACAAAGATGACTTTCTCCAAAGTACTTCTTCCAAAGTCCTTTAAGAGGGTCAAGGTTAAGATAGGAAAGTAAGAGTTTATCCAAAGTTGTCTAGTACTGTATTGCAATGCCATTATAATTTGTTCGCAAACCATAAGACTCATAGGTTAATGTTTAAAAAGTTTTACGCTATTAGATCACTTAAATAAAGGATAAAATAAATACATAAAGGGTCCCTCAAAGTCTGGCATCATTTTTTATTTTCACACCCAAACAAAAGTGTCTATTGATATCTGGAGCTATTTGGATTACTGGCTGCTGGACAAAGTGGCACTATCTCTGGCACTTATGCTGGGCAATTTAATAATTATGCGAGGGTTCCTTAATATGAGATAGAATATGTAACGACCCGACCGATCATTTTGCTTTCTAGAACTTCGTTCTTCTAAATAATACTTTTCGTACTTGCTTTTACTAATTTATGACTTGAGGAGATGGTTGGTTCGAGATTTGGGAGAGTCTGGGTTGGAATCGGAACCCTTGGTTCCTTAAGGTTGGCTTAAAAGGCCAAGTTTGACTTCGTTCAAAATTTTGAGTAAACGACCTCGGAATCGGGATTTGACAGTTTCAATAGGTTCGTATGATGATTTTGGACTTGGGCGTATGTTCGGATCGGGTTTTGGATGATCCAGGAGCGTTTTGGTGCCCAGTAGTGAAAGTTGGTTCTTGAAGAACTTTGAAGTTCTTTAAATTTGATTTGGAGTAGGTTTTGGTGATATCGAGGTCCGAATGGAATTCCGAGACTGGGAATAGCTCCGTAATGTTATTTAAGACTTGCACGCAAAATTTGATGTCAATCCGAGTAGTCTAAGTATGATTCGACGCGTTCGGAGCGATTTAGAAACTTGAAGTTCAAGTTTAATTCAATTTGGTTTTGGGATGTGATTCTTGGTTTTGTTGTTATTTTATGCATTTCGAGAATTCGATCAAGTCCATATTATGTTTATAGACTTGTTGGAGTAGTTGGACAGGGTCCCGAGGGGCTCGGGTGCGTTTTGGACCGCCCGGAGTTGAATTGAAACACACCAGATTTCTGCTTCTCGTTTCCTTCTTCACGAACGCGATTAGACCTTCATGTTCGCGATGAAGGATCTGGGGTACTGTGGGCTGGGGAGCTTTTGCCCTTCGCGTTAGCATGCACAGGATCACGTTCGTGGAGGTCTAGGTCCTCTAGCCTTCGCGTTCGCGTGACTTGGCCCGCGATCGCGTAGAAGAGGCTGAGCTGGGTGGCCGCTGTTCGTTCTTCGCGTTCGCGAAGAAACCCTCGCGATCGTGTAGGGTAGGCCGAGCGAACCTCCGCGTTCACGTTGCTCCTGTCGTGTTCGCGATGGGTAAATTTCCCTGGGCCTGGGCCGTTTGCTTTCGCGATCGCGAGGCCTCTTCCGCGATCGCGAAGAAGGAAGACCTGGGCAGAAACTTTTTAAAAAAATGGGTCTTAGGCTATTTTAGCTCATTTCTTCCATTGTTGGGTGATTCTTGGAGCTCTTAGAGAGGGAATTTCACTTAGCACTTTGAGTTAAGTAATTTCTACACAATGTGAGTTAAATACATAGTTTAAGGGTAGATTATAACATGTAAATTAATGAAAATCATGGGTTTAGGTGAAAACCTAGGTTTTTGATAAAAAAATGAGATTTAACCACGAAATTCGTTATGGAATTTAGTAAAAATCATATATTTATGTTCCTAAGGTTATGGGTAACAACTTTCTTTAAATATTTCCAGAATCCGAGCATGTGAGCCTAGGGGTGAATTTTAGGAATCTTGCAATTTAGGTTGGGTAATCACTTAAATGGTAGAATTACGAACCTTTGAGCATAGATTGATTAGTTTATGTAATGTTTGACTAGTTTCGAGTCGTTTGGCGTCAAATTTGGAGATTTGAGCGCGTTCTTGAATTGGGAAGTAGGCTTTGAGACGAGGTAAGTCTCCTTTCTAACCTTATAAGAGGGAAATTACCCCATAGGTAAACTAAATTAATATGTGTTGTTATTTGTGGGGGGCCACGTACGCATGAAGTGACGAGAGTCCGTACGTAGCTACTATTCCTGTTATGTCTGGGTAATCTTAGGCTTACAACATACATTGTTGATATTGTTATTTCTTTATGTATATTGTTTGCCTTGAGAAGGGCGGAATGAAGTGTGCAAAATGTTTCAAAAAGGAATTGGAATTGAGGAAAAATAATGGGATTTTAAAAGTTTTCATTTGAATGTCGTATTTTGAAAAGAATGGGAGAGTACTATAAAATTTTATGAGATCTTTGTGTAACCGCGTCGCATGTATGTTTCGCAAGCGGGGTAATTCCTTAAATTTATGTTTGACCGCGTCGCACGTATGATTCGCAAGCGGGGAAAATAGATGCATCTATGGTTCACTCCATTCGACCCTCGGCAGTGCACAATTTGAATATTTTGTTAGATCGGGCCGTACGACCTCGGCATAATTGCACATGCTAATTATTTTGCAATTCTCCATGATTTATGCTGCTTAAATGCCTTGAAATGTAAGTTGCTAAATAGTATTACTAAAATTTATGTTATAATTATGAAAGAAGGACTTATCTCTTCCTGTTGTTGAACTGACAGTATCATTCATGAGATCCGTGCTTAGCATAGTACTTGAATTATATTATTATTGGCCTAGTAAGTGTCAATTCGATCCCTCGTCATTACTTATTCGATGTTATGCGGGATATACTTATTGGGTACATGTTGTTTATGTACTCATACTGCTCTTCTGTACTTAATTGTACAGGATCTGAGGCTGGTGCATCTAGTTACCCGCCCGACACGCATACTTGATCTTGGACCGAGACTTCACAGTGAGCTGCCCCTTCTGAGCCGTTCAGCAGCATGCCGGAGTTTCTACTTTGTTTTTATTCGTCTATTCTGTTTCAGGCAGTAGGATAGTCATCTTTTGTATATTCTACTAGTTTCCCACATACTTGTGACACCAGATCTTTGCACGTATTAGTAGACTTTGGTTTTTGGGTTGTAATTCAATAGTTATAATTGCTTTCAGATGTTTCCGTTTGTTTGCCTTAAAAATTCTTTATTTACCAAATGTTTTAAAATAAGTAAAGCTAAATGGGAAATCACTAAGTTGGTTACTGTGGGCTTGTCCAGCAACAGTGTTGGACGCCATCGCGGCCTGGCATGGAGTTGGGTCGTGACAACATGGTATCATAACACTAGGTTCACGTAGGTCTCACAAGTTATGGGCAGGCCTAGTAGAGTCTTGTGGATCGGTGCAGAGACATCCGTACTTATCTTTGAGAGGCTATGAGGTGTTAGGAAACTACTCATTATTCATATCCTATCGTGCAATTAATGATATACTAAATTTCCTTCTCTTATTCTCTCACAGATGGTGAGGACGCGCACGGTGGATGTTCTAGACCCGGGAGGAGCTGCTACCCCTGTTGCTAGAGGCCGAGGCAGAGGCCGGGGGACGGCACCGACCTGAGGTAGGGGACGAGGGCATCCCAGAACTGCCCCAGTGGAACCAACAGCGGATCCAGTGGAGGATCCCATTATTGAGGAGCAGGGTGAGGTGCCTGCTGCAGAGCCAGCTACGGTAGATTTCATGACAGCACCGGGCTTTCAGGAGGTCATGGGACATATGATGCGGTTCATGGACACCATGACTCAGGCTGGTTTATTACCAGCGGACCCGGCCATATCTCAGGCAGGAGGAGGAGCACAGACCCCTACTGCTCAGGCTCCTTGGC